AATACCATACTTAGAGTGAGGATACAGAAGAGAATGAGAGAACTGTTCCTTCCTGTGCCTAGTCTTGTTTTACAGCTTTTCAAAAGAAAGAGGCTGGGTGTAGTAGCACACTGCTGTGGTCCCAGCTACTTGGGAGGCCGAGGTAGGAGGTTCTCTTTAGCCCAGAAGTTGGAGGCTGTAGTGTGCTCTGATGGCCCCTGTGAATAGCCACTGTACTTCCAGCCTGGCAAATATTGTGAGACTCTGTCACTGGGGTCAGCGGGGGTGAGTGGGAGAAGAAGACATCTGCATTCAAGCAAACACAGAAAATATTGTGATTGCTTTTTCTGTTGAAATAAAAATGGAGGAAATGAATTTTAAAATGAGAAGCTGAATTACCTCACAGAATTAATTCAATTTCTGAATGAGTGAATGAGTTACTGAGGCAGCTTGTGTATTTTCCTCCTTAAAATTCTTAAAACAGCACTCAATCATTTTATCTTCCTTTTTTTTTTTTTTTTTTGAGACGGAGTTTCACTCTTGTTGCCCAGGCCGGGGTGCGAATGGCCAATCCTCGCTCACTGCCAAGCCTCGCCTCCCGAGGTATACAAATGATTATTCCCTGCCAATCAAGCTCCTGAAGTAGCGGGGAATTACAGGCGATGGGCGCCACCACCTCACCGGCTAATTATGTAATGTAAATTTTTAAGTAGAGGACAGGTTATCTCGTATGCTCGTCACGCTAGTCTCAAACGTTCCACAACCTCAAAAGATGATCCACCTGCTTTGGGAAACCTCCCAAAAGTGTTGGATTATAGGCTCGTGGAGCCCACCGATAGAACCTGGGCCCAATTATGTATCTTTCAGTAAGATATAACATTATACCTAAAATTCGAAGGATATGGATTGAAAAATACCTTTCGTTTTTTTTTTTTTTATGTTTTTTTTGGTTTTTATGTTTTTAGACGAAAGTCTCGCTCTGTGGCCCAGGCTGGAGTGCAAGTGGCGAGATCTCGCTCACTGCAAGTCGCCCCCGCACCGCGGTTTACGCATCTCTCCTGCGCCTCGGACCAGATAGGCTGGGAGACATACAGGCAAAACACCGACACCGAACATCGCAACCGGCATAGTTTTTTGTATTTTATTAGTTAAGAGACGGATTTGTTGTGTGTTTTGGTTATGCTGTGGTGTATTGTTGTTCTGTATCTCCTGAATCTATCGTTGATCTGCCCGTCTCGGACTTTCTGTTTGTTTATTATTGTGTTTGGTACATTACAGGTAATATAACCTCACATGATGAGAGGTCGAAAAAAAAAAAAAAAAGAAAACAAGAAAAAAAACTATAAATAAAAAAAAAACAAAATTTTGTTGAAAAAATAAAAACTGGCGAGAGAGAGGGAGAGATAATTTTCCCAGACTTGCTAGGTAGCAAGGATAAAAAAAAAGGCAACCTTACTTAATCACCATAACTGGACTGCTGGATGAAGTCCAATTTTTTTTTTTTTTTTAAATACATTTACTACTCTACAACCTGCTGATTTTGCCTCTTTATTACATATAATTTAATTTCTATCAGAAATCATGTCTCCTTAAAGATTTTTGTTTTTGTTTTTTTTTGAGACCTGAAAAAGTCTCGCTCTGTCAGCCCAGGCTGGAGTGGCAGTGGCACAGATCCTCCGCTCACTGCAAGCCCTCCGCTTCCCGGGTATCACGCCATTCTCTCTGCTCAGCCCCGAGTAGCTGGGAACCTAACAGGTCCTGCCACCGCACCACGTCGGCTAATTTTGTATCTTTAGTAGAGACGGGGTTTCCACCGTGTGAGCCAGAATGGTCTTGATCTCCTGATTTTTGATCGAATCCACCGCACTCACCTCCCAAAGTGCTGGGATTACAGAAGATGGTTATTTTTAAAGCATCAACTAGCATATAAAATTTTTCCTAATTTATGTGTTGCATATCTGAAGTATTTATTTCAGTCTGTGGGTAGGGAGAGCAGAATAGGAAAACACAATATGAAATTGTCAAATGAAGAGAAGCACTGTAATGGGAAATTCTTCTAAGTGTATCTTTCAGAAACACAGCTTGTTTACGAATGGGGCTGTGATGCCAGAAAACTAATAAATTAACTTACAAATGAGAAATTCAGAGCAGTGATTATCCCTGATACTATTACTAGTTTCTTAGTGTAATCTGAATAACTAGACCCAGTTGGTTTACTCCCAGGACCTATACCCTCAATTTATTTGGTATTTTATACATGTATTTTCTGAGGAAAACAAAAATTTTGAAGTCTAAGGAATCAAACAAAGTTTTCTTTATCAGGTAGAAAAGAGATAATAAGTATTTATTAATAAGATTAAGAGCACTTCCGTTTTTATCATTTTAAGAAAGACTGTCAATGATTAGCAGTTGGTTTGCATCCCTCAAACAATTAATAACAACAACTTCTAGTTACTTTAAGGAAAGATGTTAAGCTTTGAAATCTGAACACATAACTAAATGATAAGCAACCTCGTCTTCATTGGGATTTTATGTGAGTAGAATCTCATTCTATTTTTTTAGTTATTAATATACAATGCTATTAGATTTCAATGCTAAAAACTATAAAACATTGCTAAGGGAAATTAAGGAAGACTTAATTAAATGAGAAGCTACATCATGTTGATAGTTTAGACAATACTGTTAAGATGTCAGTTCTTCCCAAAGTGGTCTCTAGTTTGAAAGCAATTCCAATAAAAATCCCAAGTGTTTTTTTTTTTTTTTTTTAGAAATTGATAGTTTCCAAAATTTAAATGAAAAATCATAGAACCCAAATAGCAAAAATGAATTTGAAAAAGTAATATGAAGTTATTCACCTTGGCATTTATTACTGTACCCCATTGTGCTGTGTGAGTGATGGGCTACCAACTTGCATATGCAAGCACCACTTTCTTTGGCAGTGGTAATGAATTGGAAGATTCCCTGCTATTTTCTTATTTATTTTAGTATGTTGTAGCATTATATTTTAGATTTTTTTTGTCTTGTTTGTTAAGGCATAATTTCTATGCATTAAAATTTACTCTTTTTAAGCATACAGTTTGATGAGTGTGCAGTCAGTTGTCTCCTAGACCACTAGACCCTGGTACTCAATGATCTGATTTCAGTTCCTATAGTTTTGTCTTTTCTAGAGTGTCATCTAAATGGAACCATGCAGTATTGTAGCCTTTTGTGACTGGCTTCTTTCACTTACTTTAAAAATTCATCCATGCTATTGCATATATCAGCAGTTTGTTCCTGCGGTGGCTTTATAATGTATCAACTTGGCTAGGTCTAATTATATTTCCCAAAATTCCCTTCCTTGTATGCTTCCAGTTACAAGAGACATTTTAGCATGAGACTGGAGAGCAGAAGTGAAGCAGCAGCTGTTTTGTTCTTGATGTGGGCACTTCTGCAGCTCACACGTGCTGTAACTTATCTGCTGGTTCACTTTGCAAATATGGGGCAGTAGCAAGGCCTACAGCTGACCCACCTTTCCTTGGATCCTCCTTCAGCTTCTCTGATTCCTGGGTCAAGTGAATGTTTAGCAACATACTTGCAAAAGCAAGTGGCAAAGGGCAACACTCCTCCAACAGGGTACCACATCATAAAGTTGGAGATGAGAGGAGTCACATGGGACTTGGTCTGTCTTCATGGGTTCCAGCTTGTCCCTGATCTCTCCCACTTGACATCCATCTTTTCTTCCCACCTGCCTACCCTGTGGACTTCCAGCTTTGCTCCAGCATTAGATGAAAAAACAGAGACTTACAGAGACTGCTTACCAACTCCAGCAATTGTGTAACGTCAGATCCCTGTAAACAAATCACTATACACACACCTACATGTGTGCCTGCAAATATCCTAGTAGCTCTGTTTCTCTGTGAGTGATATGATTCCTTTTTACTGCTGAATAAATTGTCATTGTATGGATGTACAATTTGCTGATCCAGTCACTAGTTAATGGACATTTGGTTGTTTTCAGTTTGACAGCATGAATACAGCTTCTAGAAATGTTCACATACAGGTCTTTGTTTTGGCAGATTATTTCAAAACATGGCACAGTAGTCCCCCCTTATCCACAGGGGATATGTTCCAAGACCCCAGTGGATGCCTGAAACCACAGATACTTCTGAGCCCAACTGCTGTTAACTGGAACACGCTTCTGTTCATACCATCTACCCACAAATTTAATGCCTTTTCCATCTTAACTAAGCACTTCCCACACTGTGGCTGTAACTTTTGCAGTTTCAGGTGTAACAGCAAAATTAGCACAGATTTTTTTTCTTTTTCACAATTTCCCAGGCAAAAGATTCGTTCTTACTGTAGATGTTACCATATGTACATTTTTTCTCTTTCCTGAAGTTCCTTAAGTCAAGAGCTTTCACCTTTTCACTTAAAGGAAGCAGGCTACAGCTTCTCGTTGGCGTATTCAAATTGCCTGCATCACAATTCTTGCACTTTGGGGCCATTATAAAGTAAAATTAGGGTTACATATAAAGCAAGAGTTACACAAGCAGTGGGATGCCATGACAGTCGATCTGATAACAGAGAATGATGCTAAGTGATTAAGTGGTGGATAGTATATACTGTGTGAATATGCTGAACAAAGGGATGATTCATGCCCAGGCAGGATGGCATGAGATTTCATCATATGACTCAGAACAGTGAACAACTTAGAACTTAAGAATTGTCTGAGCATGGAGGCTCACACTTGTAATCCCAGCAATTTGGGAGGCTGAGGCAGGAGGACTGCTTGAGCCCAGAAGTTCGAGGCTGCAGTGAGCTATCATCGTGCCACTGCAGAGAGAGTCTGGGCAAAGAGAGACCCTGTCTCTAAGAAATAAACAAAGCCTCAAGACTTATTTCTGGAATTTTTCATTCAGTATTTTTGGACTATGATTGCCTATGGGTAACTGAAACCATGGAAAGTGAAACTGCAGATAAAGGGGGACTACTGTATATCTAAAGTTTTAAAAATTGGTAATACAATGGACAGACTCTATCCATTTATCATCTAATGTCAAATTTTATTCACCTTTTTTCTTACACGATGCTGTCATTCAAAATGTACCTCATAGGCAACTCAACTCATGCATACAGTAGGCACTCTATAAATGTTTTAATAATTAGGTATTTTTTAGAATGACTAAAAATCCAGATGTAAAATCCCAATTGGGAAGTGCATAATCCCATTGTAGACAAAATATAAACTTTACAATAAACATTTTTATAAGAATTTGCCCCAAAGAGGGAACACTTAAAATTTAGAAATTAAACAATAAAAATGCAAAAGCAAGATGAAACACAATACTAACCTATTTAGACAACGATCCCTGGATCGGTGGTGCTTACAGACCAAGGGTTACCTGCACCCTGTGGCGTAAGACCATCTGACATTCAGTTAAGAGGAGAATTATATACCTAATACCCTCTTAACTGGAAATGCTGCAAGAATATATAATAGCCTATGAAAACATTTTAGCTACATTCCTTTATGTGAACACACAAAAAATTTAAACACATATTTTATTCTTTAATTTTAAAAAACCAATGATTTTCATCTTAAGCAGCAAGAATGATCCACAAATAAATATGAAGTCACTTTTATAGAAGCTATGTTAAATTCTGGAAAGTACTTTGGGAGATAAGCTCAAGAACCTTAGTCCAAACATGAAACAAATCATTCCCAAATATAAAACAAATCATTCCATTAAACAGACTTCCTATGTTTTACAAAAACAAAACAGGTTGTGACTACATGTGATAAAGTGTCTCCTATCTTAAAACTATAAACATTCACTCCAACTTGAAAAAAAAATAGGACTATTATGATACGAAAAAATTAAAACCAACCAAATGTCGACAAGTAGCTACGCAAACTTATAAACATAATTGAATGCTCTAGCTAAAAAATAAAACATCTACTGACTATATTTTTCAAAAACTATATAATTCTATAAAAATTTAAATATGTGGACTAACTACATGAATACATGGAAATGTATATATAAAATATTAAGTGAAAAAAATGTTAAAAATATAAAGTGATTATAACCATGTAAAAGTAAATATATTACAATAACAAAAACTGAAGTGAATTTAAATTGAAAGACATAAATAGATTCAAATATTAGGGTTTTTTCTTTGTTGCTTAAGATTATAACAAAATACAAAAGAAAAAAATAGACTATTATTTTAGATAAAGTTATACTCCTAAACAATAAATACTGAACTATACGTGAACTCCTAAAACAGAGATATTTAAACCATAACTTCTATATTTCAAGTGTATCCTATGAAGGAGATCAGCCCACATTTGCCAATCTTCATTTTATAACTGCCCCTCTAAAACATAAAAGGAAAACATTTTAAAACACTAAGTGAGAAAACCAAGCAGCATGCTAACAAAATCTATCTACCTAATCTGTTTTGCTTTTGCAAAAAGCCACTAACAGAAGGTTTTAAAAAACTAATTCAATATACATACTTTACATAACATATTTATGCTATAAATATTTTAAAGAATGGCTTTTACATAATTCTTTATTTCAATATATATCTCATTAATTTCATTGCAAGTTATGCAATATAGTCTTTTGGATCTGTTATTGAAAATTATTCTCTTCATGATTTAGAAAATGGTTAATTTCTTGGATAAAACATAGCATATTTAGAAGTCCGAAAGCCAAGTAAATCTCTTATTTCATTTCGGAATTTTGACAGATCTTGACGCAGTTCATTTAGATTTTCCACAGTTGCCTGGTCTGTACTTTGCATTTTCTGTCTCATGGAAGTCAAGTAACGATGCACTAGGCAGCACATCACTTTTTGATAGTTTTCATCTCTCTTCTGTTTCAAATTTCTCCATTCCTTCAAAACAACAATATGATACTAAGGATATGCAGAAACAATATTTAAATGAGGTAGAGTTCAAAAATATATTCACAGACACAAACACATCTTTAAATGCTTTATTAGACTACAGTTTTGCTACTACATGGTATAATATTCAACACTTGTTTAAAACAAATATAGCCTGCATATTAGTTTAATGCATTTAATTTTATGTTTATCTTGATTGAAAAAAATTAGTCTTAGGAATCCTTAGTTTATAGCAGGGATTGGCAAACTACAACCCACAGGCCAAATATGGTCCATATCCTGACTTTACAGCCTGTGAGCTAAGAATAGATTTTACAGATGAACATTTATCATCAATTGATAATAACACTAATTTTAAACTCTAGTTAAGTGAAAATTTATCCCCTCCCAAAAGGAATTCCATTCTTTTCATTAGTAGATCTGTATTTAAAAAATTATTACTGTTATTGTTATATTTTCAATTTTATCCATAAAAGTTTTGTGAAAATTTGTTTTCTCTCTTATTGTATCACTGCTTACACAATATCTCTGATTTTGTCTCAGCCTGAAAAGTGTAAACTATTTACTATCTGGACCTTTACAGAAAAAATGTCCCAACCCCTGGTTTATAGTAACATATATTGAATTATTGATGTATTGAATAGCTTTCAAGAAGAACCAGAAAAATATGAGCTGATTCTAGTAGTCATTCTTTAGCTACAGTGACAGAATAGGTATTTCGAATATTTCCCATGTTTTAAAACTATGAGATGAAATTTTATATATTGGAGGAATCTGAAAAGTAAAAAAAAAACTCAGTACTGTCTCTCATTCTTAATAATTGTATGTATGTGTGTGTATACACACACACACACACATATTTGTTTCGAGGTGGAGTCTCGCTCTGTCACCCAGGCTGGAATGCAGTAGCTTGATCCTGGCTCACTGCAACTTCGACCTCCTGGGTTCACGTGAACCTACTGCCTTAGCCTCCTGAGTAGCTGGGACAACAGGCATGCACCACCACACCCGGCTAATTTTTGTGTTTTTAGTAGAGACAGGGTTTCACCATGTTGGCCAGGATGGTCTCGAACTCCTGACCTCAAGTGATGTGCTTGCCTCAGCCTCCCAAAGTGCTGGGATTACAAGCGTGAGCTACCGCGCCCAGCCCTCTCACGCTCAATAGTATTTATTGAATCCTTACTTTATGTTGGATGCAATGCCATACATTAGGGAACACAGCAGTGAAAAAAGTCAGACAGTCACAGCCCTTAGGGAACTTGCATACTTATGCTTTAAGAAATATCTGAGATTAGGAATTGTTAAAACTTTTATGTTGCCATTCAAGCTTCTAATTTCTTACCTTTAAACTGTTTTGCCGTTTGACCTTGCCTTTTGATGTATGAGAGCAAATCCACTTACTGAGGCTACTAATCATATAGCAGATAGTCTTTGGTGAAGGAATGATGTTGAAAGGTGGAGGTAACGTACATTTATCATCAAAGTAGCTAAGCCATAACTTCGCTCGAGCAAACTTCCATTCTTTGTCTTCATGATTCTATATAAAAGGCAAATTAAAAAGCAAAGTAGAATAGGAACACACACACAAATATGGGGGATGTTTCCACACCTTGTAGAAAAAATTTTGTTCAACATTTGCAATTATTATACATTACTTACATTTTAAAAATCTATAGTTAATTTAAAAATACTATTTTTCAATTCTTATAATCTTATAATCTTTGGCTGTTTTATCTATTGTATGCACTTAGTATGGTCTGAGGAGAATATAAAGTTTTTAAAAGAATGAACTTACTGCTATCAACTGAAAGCTTTTATGAAGCATTGCCACCAGCAGTTTGGTAAGCACAATCACAACCACCACATTGTATGTACCAACAATGACAGCTCCCACAAAGGACTGCAGTTCTTCTCCATAGCTAAATCTTGTGACAAAGATTGCCACATGCGCTAAGGAGAAAATATACCAGAACAAAGCAAAGCAGGTGCCAATGAACCTGTAAAGACAATTGCATTTCTGTTTAAAAGGCAATTAAAGAAATTAGCAAAAACAAATAATTTGTTTATATCAAAATTATTTAAATAAAACACTGATAATCCATGAACAATTCTTTATTTTAAAATGATGTTGATTTCCACAGTACGGATATGTCTTACTTTAAACAAAGAGACAGGCCCTAAGAAGATAAATTATTCATAACTCTTTAACCCCTTGCTGCCTTTCTGTCTGTTCTCAACAAGGCAACCTATATGATTTGTTAATATCTAATTAGATTTTGTCACACCTCTGCTCAAAACCTTCAAATAACTCAATTTCAATAACTCAAAATCCTTACAAGGGCAAAAAGGTCCTACATGATCCCCATTACCCTTCTGACTTCATTTCCTACAACTCCCCCTCCAATTCAACACATTGCATCCACACTGCCTGCCTGGCATTTTCTTGAACATGCCAGTCATGCTCCTACCTCTGGACACTGGCCTTTGCTGTTCTCTCTCTCTGTAAATGCTCTTCCCCCAGAAATCTTCTTCATGGCTTGCTCCTTTACCAGTTTTAGATCCTCACATGAATGCTATCTCTTCTGGGGCATTCCTTAGCTCCTTAGCTAAAACTGAACTCTGACACACAGATGCTCTTTAGCTCATGCTTTATTTGTCTTTGTAGCCCCGACCACTGTGTAACATAATAAGTATTTTACTCCTCTTTTTATTGCCTGTATCACCTCCCTAGAATGTTAAGCTTCATCAGGATAGTTTTGTTTACTAATGCTTCATTTGCTCAGCACTTAGAGCACTGTCTGGTATATAGTAAAGGCTACACTGACACTCATTAATCTTATTCTTTACATAAGATGACACACAAAATAACTAAAGAATAGTTGACACATAATAGGAACATGACAAATGTGTCCTTCCACACCCCTTCTCCATTGTTTTATTTAAAAATGAGGGGAGGTATTTTGTTTACCTCAAAACAGGGTGTTCAAATCCTTATGATACATTAGAGAAAAAAATGTTCATGAAGTTCTAATGATTCTCAATTCTAATGACCTCTTAAAAAGTGTTGAAGCTGTGAGTGTTTTTGGCTGTAACAATGACTGAGAGTTGCTACTGACATTTAATACCTGAAGGACAGAGATGCTGAACATCTTGCAATATATGGGACTGACAAAGAATTGCTCAAAATGCTAAGAGCACACAAAATGCCAATAATTCCTCTGTTAAGATAGACTGCAGTAGGGAAGACAAGGTAATAACTTGGACCCACTGTTTAAGATTCTGTATGTAAAGATGACTATAGTGACTCATGAAAAATAAGTATTTATTAAAGTTTATGAACATTAATAAGGAATTTCTTAAAATTTGAAGTTCTATTTCTATAGATACTAATTCACATAGAAGATGGTTAAAAGACAAATATATTTACTAAAACATTTAAAAGACACTCACGAATGGAAGGTATCATTGCTTTGCTGTTCACAGAAGATGCCTACACAGTCTTTCTGCTCCTTTGAAGTATATCCTTTATCATACAGTTGTGTCAGTCCAATTGTGAAAGAAAACAAAACAAGAAGAAACATCCCAAGAAATTTTCCAAAATCTTGTAACATCTGTCCCATTGAAATCTGTGGAATATATTACACAGGTATTCATTAAGATTATCAGAAAAAATATTAAATATAAATGACCCAGCAACAAAAGGAAGACAAACACATAATCCACAGGCCACCCCTTCTATTGCGTCTGGTTGAGATAGACCAGCATTTTAAAAACATTGAAAATCCAGCTGCCTAACAAAAAGTCATTTTAATCATACCAACACTATCATTGTTTAGAAGGCATGTTCTTGAACCTGGATCAGGTTTTCTGAGGACATTGTTGCTATGGAGATAGAGGCAGAGATACAGAGATTTAAGAAAAGGCTGAATTTGCAAGGGATAAAAGGAAAATACCCTGCTCAAACTTAAAGAGAAATAAATGTTTATATTTACATAGCTTCTTAAATTTTACAAATATAAAATCATTATGGGGCAAAGTATTTCACCTGACTTTTGAAACCAGTTCCTAAAATCAGCATTTCCTCCTACGGGACTGCCCTAATTTCTTTTGCTGAGGTGACAGACTTTCTTTCACTTTGGGTCCATTTTAAGAAAATACTATGTGTGCAAGCCAAATGAGGGTGTCCAGTATTAGTAGTGAGTATGTTTTGTAGTTTAGACATGTATAGTGCATATAGAAGCTTTAATCCTAATTTCATTCTCCTTCAAAATTTAGATTAGGTACTTTTCATAAATTCTTAGTTTTTAAATTGGCATATAAATTTGGGGAATAATGTGATAGTACTTTTTTGACCCAGCAATTCTATCCCTAGAAATTTAACCAGTAGATAGAAGTACACAAAGATGCGTGTATATACAAGGATTTACACTGCAGCATTGTTAGAGGTAGCAAAAAAATTTTAGAAAATCCTCAATATTGTTTTTATCTTTTAATTTTTTTTTGGAGGGGGGGGACTTTCCTGCAAAAACCAGAAAGCCTGCTAGACAAATTCTAAACGAGCTGTAACATTACTCAACATTGTTTTTAAAAAGAATGAAGAACATCTACATGTGCTAGCATACAAAGATGGCTGTAAGACAGTAAGTTCAAAAAGCAGGGTGTAAAACTGTATGTATATGTGGAACGGCTCCCATTTCTATTTTGTTAAAGGATAGACAAGATACATATTTTAATATAGATCTGATTTAATATGCATAGGAAATTTCTGGAAGTTTACACAAGAAATTGTTAACCATGTTTATGGAAGTATATATAACTAAGGGTATAGAAGGCAGACTTTTTTTTTTTTTTTTTAAAGACAGAGACTCTTGCCCAGGCTTGAATGCAGTGGCGCGATCTTGACTTACTACAAACCTCTGCCTCCCAGGTTCAAGTGATTCTCCTACCTCAGCCTCCCAAGTAGCTGGGATTACAGCTACCACCACGCCTGGCTAAGTTTTTGTATTTTTAGTAGAGATGGGGTTTCACTATGTTGGCCAGAATGGTCTCGAATTCCTGGCCTCAAGTGATCTGCCCACCTCAGCTTCCCAAAGTGTCGGGATTACAGGCGTGAGCCACCGTGCCTGGCCTCATTATTTTTGATATACAAAAATTAGTGTTTTGAAACAACCCTTCCTCAAATTTAATAGGTCAAATTTATATAATTAATTACATCAAAGTTCAAATAAAATTCCTAATTGGCCCAAGTCTGCCAGCATAGCACATCCCTGCTTTCAGTGATACAAAATGGTAGCCACAGGCAATTGGCCAGATGCTTCCAGCCCACTAAAGTGGACCAGCTATTTAAGCAGAAGAGGTGAGTTTAAATTCTTAGGCATGCCACAAGCTAGTAACCCAGACTCTGCCAGAGTGGAGAGATCCAATATGCCTGACTTGTGCTTTTGACTAGACCATGCGGTACTTTTCAAGGCCTATGCTTCCCTCACTTGGCCCCCTTATAAAATTCTGACACAAGAAGCGGGGGACATTTAGAATCAGAAAACTCAAAATATGTAAGAAGGAGAAGAAATGCATTTTCCTCTTAATTAATGACAGCTTTATTGGATCACCTTGAGAAAGAAAAGCATCCATTCAGATTGTGATTGCTTAGAATAAAGCTATACCATCTCAGTAGAGAACTCAGTAGAGAACTCAATCCCTTATGACAATAAGAATACAGTAACTGCTTTTGATAACTACAGAAAAGATCACCTTGAGGAAAGTCTGGACACTGTAAGCTTACAGGTAAATCAGGTTTTCCAATAGTGACCATGTATAATTTTAATTTTAAAACATGTAATCAAAGTAGCTTTAATTTAACATGTTTTAAATAAATGTAATCGAGTTCAATATCAAGGTAAAAAATTCTGAATGAGAACACCACAAACTTCATGACTTGCTTAAATTTTAAATTTAAAAAGAAATTTTTAAGAGACAGAGTTTTACTCTGTTGTCCAGGCTGGAGTATGGTGGTGCAATCACGACTCACTATAGCCTTGACCTCCTAGGCTTGAGCCATCCTCCCCACTCAAGCCTCATGAGAAACTAGGCGCATACCAGCATGCCCGGATAATTTTTAAAATTTTTTTGTAGACGAGGTCTTGCTGTTTTGCCCAGGCTGGTCTTGAACTCCTGGCCTCAAGCTATCCTCCCGCCTCAGCCTCCCAAAGTGCTGCAATTAGAAGTGTGTTCCACCATGCCTGGCCTGACTTGTTGTTTAATAGCATGATATTGGTTCTTATACAAGAAGAACTAAAAGTAAAACAGTGGATGTCACTTAGGTGAATACTGGCTTGAAGATACTAACCAAATATTCATGTGAGAGGCAAATATTAAAAACAGTAAATTTATTTTATACTGAGAGATTATAAGGTTTATGTATTTGTAAAAGTAATACTAATGCTTTCTCAAATATTTTTAAAAACTATTTGGCAGTTTAACTTGAGAAATATGAAAACTTGTGAAATGAAAAGAGAAAGGTAATTAAAATATTAATACTGAAATTTACATACGAGTTAATACTAGTACATACAGAGGAAAAAATCCTTGCTAATCAGAAAAAGTGAAATTAAAGCAAACCACTAAATTAGCGTAACTTAAAAAAAGCACCAAATGCTATTAATGTAGTGAAACTATTTTTATACTGCTTGTGTTACAGAAAATTAACACACTCTACTGTAAAAAAATAAAAATACTGTGGTGTCAGATGGATCATATCTTTTGATCTGTTAATACTATTTTTGGAGACTTATCCTTAGAAATAACAGAGGCAAAAAGCCTCATACACACGAGTACTATGCAGAACAACAAAAACAACCTAAATCCCTCGTAAGGGAAAGGTTGCTATCATTAGGCTCATTAAATTACAAAAGTTGCTAACAAAAGAAAGCAATAATAATGACAATTTCTAGTCATTGTCTTTCCAAATCTCCCTCCAGAATAAAGCCGTAATTATCTGTCCAAAAGTTCTATCTAAGCAAGCCACCCAGGCTCAAAAACCTCCTTTGCACATGTGGTATTAAAATTCCTGGCAAAGAGACCTTCAGTCTCTTCAGTGTCCAGCCCAGCCTGTCTTTTTTAGCCTCATTTCCCCAACTCCAGTCCACAGTCCAGCTATAAAGGATAGGCTATCTTCTCCAAGCACACTCTGCTTTATGACTCCACACTTCTGCATGTTATCTCCCCCTTTGTCCTTTGTCAGGCAGGCTTCTCATCCCTTCAAGCCTCAGATCAAATGCCACCTCCTCTAAGGAGCCTTCCTGACTCTCTCCAGATACTTCCTCAGTCATGATTCCAAAGTAACTTTGTTATTGCTAAAACAGTCTTTTTGACTTCATACTAGTATTTATGTTATGTTTGTCTCCTCTAGCAGTCTTTAAGAGCAGGCACCATGTCTTAGTAAGCTCCAGAGCCTGGTGCATTAATTAAAATGTTGAATGATTCTTTACCATTTTCCTAGTTTCTTAATTAACTTAGTTAATTAACACCAAGTCCTGGTTCTAACACTGTGTGAGCTGGGCCTTAGTTTCCTGATCTATACAAGGGATACAGTCAAATGGTGCATCTGCATGTAATTTTTCAGCTTTAACCCAATCAATTTAACCAGTATCTCTGAGGGTAGGACTTGAGAATCTAGGTTGAACGTGCTCCCCAGGTGATTCTGCAGCCCCACCAGTTTGGGAACCTCTGGACTACATGACTCCTCGGTTTCTCTAACTATAATATACACCAAAAATGCAAAACACCTGAAATAGCTCTTTACTCATTAGAAGCAGCACCAACATGCCACTTATATTATACAGGCTACTAAATAAAACCTGATAATTATCCAGTAAAACCAAACAATTCACTAGAAATAAAATACACACTCATGTCTCAAGTACTAAGCTTTCCAAGTTTTCCTGTATTATTTTTCAGGTCTGCCATAGTTAACTAACTATAAAAGGAATGGAAAAAATGGACCTAAACATTTATGTAAAGCCCACCATGTGTCAAGTACTCTGGTATGCATCTTACATACACTGACCCATTTAATCCTCACAACAACGGATTAAGAAACTGAGGCTCACAGACATTGTAAACAGTAAGTGATGGAGCAAGATTTTGAACCAACCTGTCAGAATCCAAGGGGATGTTCATTCATTTGTAATATTAGTAGCTCTAATAATTAGACCAAACAGAAAAGCAAGACATTTAGATACAAGCACTTTCAAGTACCGTAAACGTTGAGGCCTAGGAATGCATGCATAGACCCTCAAGGGCTCCCCTCCTTTGGTCTGATTTGCTCATCACCACCACCCCAGAACTAATCCTTGCCAGAGACTTCTGCTTTGGGGCTCCTCCTCAGAGAAACCTAATCAATGTAAGTGCTGCCTTTAAACTGTCTAGAATCACATGATGTGGCAGATTTCCCTAGGAAACATTTCAACCTCTGGGAAAGAAATGCACCTCCTATCCTAAATGAAGTAAGAAGGGGAGGAACTTTAGGGAAGAAAAGGGATTAATATTTGAGAAAATTCCCAAATAACATATTCCCCTCCAAAAAAAAACAAAAAAAAAAAAACAAAAAAACAATCTTTTTTCCACTTAGTTTCTCTAGATGTGAGGCCTGAAAGCATGAGGTCAAAAACAAGCTGAAGTGGGAGACTTGTTGCTTTTGTAAGGACTTGTTAGCATAGCACCAAAGAAAAGGTGGTGATGTTTTACAGTGGGAAGGGGAAGAAAGAAAGAGGAAGGGCAAACAGGTCCACAAGACTTTATGTCTGGGTCTTATCAAATATGACAATCATAATAAACTTTAGCTTTCTCTGGATTGATTTTGGATTTGACAGTCCCTTGGACAGCAGGAGTAAAACTCCTTGAAGGGTTGCTTTCTCTGAAGGCCTTGCCTCTTTCTCTTCTATCCTCCTCAACCCACTCCACCCTACACTTTAAATGTCCGATTCAGTTAGAACCCTCTCACTACTTAGTACCAGTAACTGCTCTCAAAATATAAGCATACCTCATTTCATTACACTTCACTTTGTGGTGGTCCACAGATACTGTGTTGTTTGTGGCGACCCTGTTTTGAGTAAGTCTATGTGTGCCATTTTTCCAACAGTATGTGCTACAGATGGGTAAGAATCAGGGACCCACGCAGCAGAGTCTTGGAGCAGGAGGAACTGTTAATAATCACATCTTTTGTACTAAGCTACAAGAATAAAGACAGGAAGCATGTGGGACCTGAGAGAGGGCCCCACCCTGGGACCAGGTAAGGAAAAAAGGAAATAAGGAAAAAAGGGCAGAGTGCTGTGTGGTCATGGGTTGTTCTGTCTGAATTATCCAACTGTCAGTGTAAAAGGTTGTTTAATTCATTTGAAACATGTGACTTGAATAATTTTTTAAAAATCTGCAAATTATTAAAGCCTGCCCACAGAAGTTATTATACAATAAGAGTTAATGAGGGAATCATATTATTCTTTAATATTATACAACCTGCAGGGTGATTTAGTATAGTGATTAAGACCACTGGCTCTGGAGCCAAACCACCTAGGCTGGAATCCCAGTTCTGCTACTTACCAACCATGTGACCTTGCGCAAGTTACTTAATGTCTCTATGCCTCAGATTCTTCCTCTGTAAAATGGAAATAAAAGAGTCTGCCTCTTAGAATGGTTGTGAGGATTAAATGAGGTAATAAATGTGAATAAAGACTTTAGAACAGTATCTGGCACATAGTAAGGGCTCAATAAATGTCTGCTGTTATTACTACTGTTACCACAATTATGTATAGATTCTGTCTTCATGTTTTTTCTTTAAAATATAAAGCATTACTGATTTATGCCCAATCATGTTTCTTATATCTGCTGAAGTGGATTAGCTGACATCCTTCATTAAAGCAAGAGAAGAAACAACAAAAAAATGCCTATCTATTTAGCTTTGTAGTTACCATTCCCTTTGGGTATATTTGTATTTTGTTCATTCTTCTGTTTAGATCCATATTCCCCTATGTTATTGTAGTCCTTCCACCTGAAGGACTTCTATTAATGTTCCTTGTAGTGCTGGTCTCCAGTGATGTATTCTTTTAGCTTTTGTGTGTCTGGAAAAGTCTACATTTTACCTTCATTTTTGAATGATACTTTGCGAGGTAGAGAATTCCAGGTTGACAGTTGTTTTTTTTTTCTTTCAGTGCTTTACAAATGTCACTCCCCTGCCTCCTTGCTTGCATTGTTTCTGACAAGAAATCTACTGTCATCCTTACCTTTCTTTTTCTGTATATGATGACCTGTTATTCTCTGTTTGTTTTGAAGATTTTTTCTTTATCGCTGATTTTCAGCAGTGATATACTGAATATGATGTCCCTTGGTGTGATTTTCCTCATGTTTCTTGTGTTTGGAGGTTTATTGAACTTCTTGGATCTGTGGGTTTGTAGTTTTCTTCAAATTTGGAAAATGTCTGCTATTATTTTTTCAAAAATTTTTTTGGTCTCTCCTTTTTTCAGGGATTCCAGTTACATTAGTGTTAATATTAGGCTGCCTGAAGTTGTACCAAAGTTCACAGATACTCTTTTCACTTTTAAAAATTCTTTCTTCTCCATTTTATTTTGAATAGTTTCTATTGTTACCTATTCAAGTTTACTAATGTGTTTTTCTGCAATGTCTAATCTGTCATTAATCACATCCAGTGCATGTTTCATGTCACAGTGAAATTTTCGTCTCTGAAAGTTTAATTTGTTTTTTTTTGTTTTTTTTTTGTTTTTTTACATCTTCCATGTCTCTACTAAACTTTAAACTTTTTGTACGTATAGAACACAATAATAATAACTGTTGAAGAGTCCTTATCCGATAATTCTAACATCTGTGTTGCTTTTGGATAGGTTTTGATGAACACATTTAAGTTACTTGGAAAAAATTTAATCCTTTCACATCTTGCTTTTAATATTTGTTCGCTGAAACCAGAGCAGTGTGTAGGCTAGAGATAAGTATTGAGGCAAGACCCTTCTAAGTACTCTACCCAATGATCAGTGTATTAAACAGGCATTCTCCTCTACGTGAGCTCTAAGTACTGTTTCCACTAATCCTGTCGGATGAGATGGTTCTTTCCCTGCCCCAGGTAGTGTCCTCACATGCATATGCTAATCAGTACTCTGCTGAATACTCAAGGGAGACAACTGCAGATCTACAGAATTTTCTTTCTGTGCTGCTGTGTCCTCTCCAGTACCCTTCCTGCAAACTCTAGTCTTCTGGGTCTCACTGGCCTCTCATATCGGTCTCCTAAATCCAGATTTCTGCCAGGCTCTGACTGCAATGACCCACTCTGCACAATAGCCTAAAAATTCTCACAAAGCAGTAAGCTGGAGTAATCTTTGTTTCTTGTTTCTTAGAGATCACTGTTGCTTATTGCCTTCTGTCTAGTTTCTTATAAGCTGTTCTTTCATATATTTTGTTCTTTTTTCCTTTTTGATTGCTTTAGGTAGAAGGGTAAATCCAATCCTTATTACTCTGTGTCGGCTGGAAACAGAAGTCAGAAATTGACTCTTCATTCCTAAACAATATTATACTTTCTCCTTTTTAACCCTTTAGAGGGGTCCATAAAGAAATTTGTAATATAGAAACCTAGTTCTGTCATCCATTTTCAGTTAAAAAAAAAAAAAAATCAATGTGCATGTAAAAACACTGTAGACTCTTGATTAAAGCATTCATAGATGATATTAGTGACAAAAATAAATCAAAAGAACAGATAGTTTAAGCCAGTGTTTCTATGGCTTACTATGTTTTGGAAAAATACAGAGACTTGCACATATTTCATGAAAAACAGGTATGAGGTTAAATGACTTTAGGTAATGATGATTTGAATAAGGCTAAACAAATTTCTTTCTTTCTCAGAGGCTTTAATGTGATAACATGCACTGTCAATTCCCAAAAGAGGTATACAGTATGCAGTGTATCCCAAACTTACTTAATTCAGAGCATCTCACAGGACTTGGTTAAGAAAGAGCCACACTTCAGGAAACACTGTTGCTGGATGACAGCACAAGCCTAATCAAATCAGGTTTTTCCTATATATTTTATTTTCATATCCCTGTTTGGAGAAGGTAATTATGCCTTTTATTTAAAATATCACCTTTAAAAATATGACACAATCTAAATTGTTAGTAAATTTTGAATTAAGGAAAAATGAATATTGTTCAGATTTTCAGAATTAATAAGCTATAGTATTACATAGAGCTAGCAGAGTTGACCCCACCTTCTGAAAACAACCAGTTACGAAACTCTGTGGGGTAAATGCAACCAATTGTGAGTCTTGTCTTTGGTGCAAAGTGACTGAAAATTTAGTCTTGAATTCTCATACATAATCATACTACTTTGGACAAATCATATCCCATCTCAAAAGCTCAATTTCTTTAACTATAAAGTATTATAAAATATAAAGCTGAACTACATAGCCTCTATAAATTTTTAAGCTCTAAGTATGCTACTTTCCAACTTATTACATTTAATTTTACTAAACAAAAGTGAAGGTATTCTTTTAAATATAGCTTATTCAAAATCATCAAATATGATTATTTTTGTTTGCACAGGTCCTCCTTTATACTTATAACCTAAAATATTTAAAACTTTAAATGTGAGATTCATTTTGACAAAAAGCAGATTTTTATGTTACTCTACTATCTGAAGTGTAATTATATTTTAAACATATCTATGTCTATGGAGTGGGGGGAGGAGGCTAATGGATCACAGCGTAATAAACTTGGAATACCTGAAAGCAAAGAATTATCACTGAGCCAGAAGCAAAGCAGATAAACATGCTGTGTCCTTCTAATTGCTACTTATTCTCAAAAGCAAAGTTTAGCTTTAATATCATGAGAGAACAGTATTCCAGTGGACAAGTAGAAAGATGTAACAATAATGACATCTAACAAATGTTCTTTAAGAAATTTTAATTATTTACCTGTAATGGACCCAAGATAGAGCTGGTTGTATACATAAAAAAGAGACGAAGATAACTTAGAACATTTGCAAATGCAAAAAGCCCTTCTGCCACCAGTGTAGGATGGAATGCATCCCAATCCTTCCGATCAGCAAAATCATGAAACTAAGGTTAGGAAGAAAAAGCCAAAGGTAAATAAGCTCTCTCAATTTAGGAAAATAAAAGCAAGTATTCTGACTGTTGAAAGAAAGCCATTTTAATTTTGTCTTCTTATAGGGGGATCTCCACTTATATTTTATAGGGTTCTTCTTTTTAAATATAAATAATATTTTAATGAAATAAAAGATTATTATGTATGTGAGGCATTATCACTCTATATGAAGAGGTTTTTCCATAAACTCTTAAATTTTAGAAAATTAAGTATTTTTTAAATGATCATTAAACTTTTTATCAATGAAATGTTGGCTAGTTTTCTTAAATTTCACAACACAAACGTTAAGTACATGTGCTGTCAATTAATTCCCTATCATATTACATGAACCTACTCCTTTGACTTGGAATTAGAGTTTTTTCCCCCCTTTTAAATACAAAATAAAAAAGAGGGCATTATTGTACCTAGACATAGCGGTCAAATGTCCCCATTGCCTGGGATAGTTTAAGATGCTGTACCAGTTGTCCTGGCATAATTATTAATAGTGCCCCCTTTCACTCTCAAAATGTCCTGATTTGGATAATAAATTATATGGGTACTTCACTTATAGAACTAAAGAGATCAATCTGAAAAAGCAATGTCTCTCAGTCCCATTATCAAACAATTTATCTATATATGACCAATTTTTATTTTCTGAGTAATTTCATACTCTAGACACTGAACATACCTAACATATTCCATAGTACTGATCAATTAAATAGAATTTTTTAATAAAGTAAAATGATGTAAAATAATGAGCTTGCCTTTTCAATAATCTATAAACTAATAAAAAGAAAAACAGAGAATATTGTATATTTTAGTTCCTTGAATGTGACACCCCAGAAGAATTCTAAACTCAGGGTTTAAACAAAGTTAGTTAACACAAAATTTATTACCCTTTCTGGGCTTGGGGGAACTTAAATTTTGATGAAAGTAAAATTATAAGTTATCTATAAGGGTAGATTTTTGTCAAATTCTAAATAAAATATATAGTTATTAGAAAAATAACATTTACATCACTTTTAAAGCTGATAATCATGATTTGAAATGTGTAAAATATTATATAATGGAATGGAATGGAAACTCTCTTTCTGGCAGATATAAAGGTATCTAAAACTAATCATTTTAAGTTACTTTGTTCTCATTTTAAGTATATACAGGTTAATAAGCTAAAAGAACCTAGGGTCAGATATAAGGAATTGGCATGTAGTAGAAAGAAAATGCCTAGACAGAGCAGGATTTAAATCCAGTCTTGGTTTCTTACTGTGTGGTTTGGACAAGTTGTTTAATATTTTTAGGCTTCATTTTTCTTATTTGCAAAATGGGAATAAGGAAATAAGGACTTCAGTCTCAAAGAATCCCAGGGTAGATAAAAAGAGATAAAGTATACCAAATATCAACTATGGTCCCTGTTATATAATACATAACCATCATGTAAAGGTACATCACGCCCTGTAAACTACTGGTAAAATAGAAAACTATGTGCACACAGATGGGCTTAGAATGAAAACACACCAGACACCGATCTGGCTCAATGTAACTCTGAGTTACATAGCTAAATATCTTAGTTATTTCCAAAATAAACTTAATTTGTGCCTTCAATTGACATAGTAAATAGTCACCTTGTTGTGAGCAACCACTTTGAGGGCAAAGGTTGCCAAATAAAGAGAATTCATGACAAAACTGAGTTGATTACGAGATTCTTCTAAAAAGTCTTCCAACCCTTCATACCAGAGTCTTTTAATGTCTGACCAAATCATCCCTAAGAAAAGGAAGAAAAAAATCAGATAACACTTTCTTAATTCAATAATAAACTAAATATTAAATAAATAATCCTTGGGCCACCTATAGCCTTATTCAAAAGAAAAGTAACAAAAACAAAAGCATTTTAGTGAAAAGTTCTTAAAATCTGAAAGAAAATAACCTTAACTTTCATATGACTTGAAGAAAATAACCTTAAGTTTCATCTTTGGATGTGGAACAAATACAAGAAACCAAATAAATTGATGCCAAACACACATGGGCACAAACACACATGGACACACACACAGGGATACATACATACACGGAGACACACACGGATACACACACACGGACACATACACATGGATGTGCGTGCACAAACATACACACACCCCCGCCCAAGGGGCTCAGTCCCTGATCCTTTTCTTTTCTCTACCTAAACTTACTACTTTAATGATCTCACCCAAACTAATGGCTTTAAAAATCATCTATATGGCAAAGGATCTCAAGTTTATATATTTAAGTTCAAATCTTTTACTTCTACAAATTGAAGTAAACCTAGTACCAGGTTTCAGCCTATTTTGTTCTGTGAGTGCGAATGTCAAAAAAAACAAAACCACTGCTGCTGATTGTGCATAGTGGGCATTGCACCCTCCCTTAAATCCCATTTTACTCAGAATCAAAACCAGTCTTTACAATGGCCTGCAAGGCTCCATATTACCTATCCTCTCTGACCTCATCTGCTACTAATCTTTCCTTGTGCTATTCTAGCCACGCTGGCCTCCTTGCTTCCTTGCTGTTCTTTGAACACATGACTCCTGCCTTTAGGGCCTTTATACTGGCCTCCTTCTGGCTGGACCCTCCTCACCCAGAGATCCATTTGCCTAACTACTTCACTTTTTCATGTCTTTGCTCATCACCCTCCCTGACCACCCTATTTAAAATTGCAAACTCTTTGCAACTTTAAAATTGTCCCCCACTCCCAATTCTCCTAACTCTGCTTTTACCTTTCTTTTGTAGTACTTACCTCTTTTTTAACACTGAATATAATTTACTTATTAGGTATATTATTAATTGACTATCTTTCCCCCACTTTGGGTAAGCTCTTCAAGGGTAAGAATCTTTGTTTTATTTACCAATGTTTCCAAATGTCCTGAAAAGTACCTGATATAAACAAGGTGCTAAAAATATTGCTAAATGGATAAATATACAAAAATAAGAACCAAAGCAAACAAACAGAAAAACTTTCCCTTTTTTGGCCAGAAGCTCCTCTATAACTATATATTTTTAGGAGTACCAGACTTCAGTAACATAATTCAGGATCATTTTATGGTACATTCCTTCATTAAGTCATCTTCAGGAAGAATATAGAGTAACAAAAGAATAGAGTACACATGGGTGGAGATCAAATTAGTCCAATCAGAATCATTCTCTGGCTTATCAGTAAGCAAAATAATTCCCCTGGGAAACACAAGAAACATCCTTGAAGATCTCTGTTCAAAACATCGTAATTATGCAGTACCCATATTTTATAGAGAAAAAAAGTTTTTAAAACATTTGCAGATCTGACAAGAAAAACATTTTTAACAATTCCACCTCAGTATGTTTTTACTCAAAATGAATAGATGAAAACTGTCTAAAAATGTTAAATGAAATAGTCTGCAGGTAACATTTTATTAACTCAAATACTGTTTTATTTGGGGAAGGAGTAGGGATGAAAACTTTCTGATATTTCTTATGTTGAACCTTCACCTACCACTCAGAGCTGTGGAGCAGAAACATATTAAACAAATCCTCTATGACCATACTTTCTTGAAGACTCAAAATTATTGTCTAATCCTAGATCCTGATGTGTGCAAATCCTTATTTATGAAGCATCTTCAAACAAAAACCCTTATATTTAAACTTTAAATACACTCCTGTTAATATTAAAACATCAAACTAAGAAAGATGCTTACAGAAATGTATTTCTGTGAAATGCAATATTTCACCTAAAAGAAACTCTTAACAAAAACTTTCAACATGAATTGGAGAAAACTTGACCAAAAAAGACAGACATGAAAGTACGGTGAAGACCAGTTGGTTAGTTTCCCAGCTCCTCTGCAATACCCCCACAAAAATGAAGCTAATACACTTGATGTATTCCATGTTTCCAAGCTGGATCAAAAAGAACAAAGTAAGTTTAAACTAATTCAAGCAATGCAAACACTACATAACCAACATTCTATATTTTAGGTCTTTTTTTTTTTTAGAATTAATGTTAATAATAACATTAGAAAGCAGCAATCCCAGCCATCTTGGGATTTCTCAAGGGTTTGATCTTAGGTCCTCTCTTTTTCTCAATTTATTCTTTCTCCTTGTGTCGCACCTATGCCTATAGTTTCATATACCACCTATTTTCAGATATTCATACCTTTCTAACTCAAGCTCCAGACCAACTGCCTGCTTGCTATCCCTTTTAAATATCTCAAAGGCTTTTCAAACTCAACATATCCAAAACTGTACTCAGGATCTACCCCCAACACACAAATCCCCAAATCTAGTACTTTTCCAAAAGACCAATATTGCTTAATAATCTCCCTGTCCTTCACCTCTCATATACTATGTATTTCCAGGTCCTACTGGCCTTACATTATAAATATCTCTCAAGTCTGTTACCTTCTCTCTTTATCACAATCACCCTAAGTCCAAGGTACCATCAGCTCTCATCTGCATTAGTGCAACGGCATCAATATTGGTCTCCATCTACTCCTGCCACAGCACTATCCTCCCAGCCCATCCTCCACACTGTAGATAGAAAGATCTTTTCAAAAGGCAAAACTGATCATGTCAGTCGCCTACTTCAGGCAGGCAATGGTTTCCCCTTGTTCTTAGTATAAAGTCAAAATTACTTAACCTGACCTACAAGGCCATGCATGGTCAGGTAAAATATGTTTCTACAGCGTCATCTTGAATCAAGCTCTTCTGGTTCTCCCTGCTCCAGTAATGTTAGCCTTTACTCAGATCCTTCTTTGTACCATTCTCTCTTGCCACTGGGCTTCTGAATGTGCTTTTATCTCAGCCTAGAGTAGCTTCCTCTCCCAGTTCTCTCAGTTGACATCTATTTATCTTTTAGATCTTAGCTCACTTATTACTTCCTCAAAGTGTTTTTCCCCACCTCCCTGACTAGGGCAAATGCCCCTATAATATGCTTGCTCTCCTAACACTATGACCTTTAATCAATAGCACTTAATCTATTTTTGATTTTTCATTTATCTGTATGATTTTCAAGTCAAGTTTTTGATGGTTTTATTTGGCTTTTATTAGATCATAAGCTCCATGAGTGTAGGGGCCGTATCTGCTTTTGCCTGTGCTCAGACAAAGTAGGTACATGACATTAAAAAAATACATTTTTATAATAGCCATTCTATTATATTTAATAGCAAAAATTAAGTAAAAGGATACCACTAATATTCTGTGCATTCCTCAACAAATTATTCTCTTTTTATGTACTATAACCTAACCCTGCTTTTTTTCTGAAAAGCTAATGAAAGCAAACAAAACAAATATACAAAAATTGGTCATGATGAATTAAAAAGTCACTGTGTTCATTGTTTGAAATAATAAGTTGAACTAAGCAATGACTTTAGGCAAGCAAGCAAAATACTCCTCCATGCTCACTTAGAGCAGGTTTGGATCTATATACTGAAAAAAAGCCCAGAGTGACCTAATTACATAAAAGGCTTAAGAAGACTTCCTTGGCAAGGCTTATTGAGATCAAACTGTTTCAAAGCAGAAGCTGTGCTGAGGAAAGTAAAATACTTCCAGGAATTTTACTGACTTAATGCACATGCATTCTTCTAGTGAGGTAGAATATGGTTAGAAAATTCATCATATTATGTGTGTAAGGGGGTACATGTTTGTATACATGTAATATCATTGAAAACAGCATCATCATTCTTAAAAAGGAAGAACCATAGTTTTACTATTATTATGAAAATTGGGGACAGTAGTAATATTTATGCTATTCAAAGAGTGGTATGACTATTTTAGTTCGGTGAGTTTTTACTCATTGCTAAGACATACAAACTTTAACTTGATTCTTATACAGACTTGGGTAAGCTGAATACAACAAAACACAGAAAATATTCTTTCTTACTACTAAACAATAGGTTATAGAGATAAATGTTATAAAATTTCATCTGTTTAAGACTAAGGAATATATAACAATCAAACAGTTTAAATGAATATAGGGAAAGTGCTTCTTAGCAATTCTCTTCAAACTAATGTGTAAAATACTTCCAGGAATTTTTTAACTACTCAAATAGCAATACAAACATATTTCACATTGAAAAGAGTCCCACAATCCAATATAAAACCATATATGATAAAGTTTAAATTATTTCCTAAATTAAAATATTAAATTTTAGATAAGAGCAAAACTACAGGAAATAAAAATATTAACAAGAAGGAATTATTTAATTCTCTTTAACCTAGAGTTTAGATGTATATTATTTTTACCTAATTTTAAACATTAATGCATCATGGATTGAATACTGTTAAAAGCGAAACTCTAATTACAATCAAGTTACCTGAAAGTAACTGATTTTCAAATAAACATTCTAAAATATAAAAAGTATTTGTATAGCTAAAGAAGAACTAAAATTGAACATTGTGAAATAACTTATCAAAGTATTAAATAATTGAAACAATCAGGAATGTATTAATCAAAAGATAAATATGATCAATACTTTGTGCCATATATAAGACTAAATTTAATACTCTTTTACTCTATAGCAAATAGTAGATGGACAGATGGGAAGTGCTGAGGTTAAAAACAAGTTAGAAGATACAGATGGAAATAAAGAAAGTATCTTTAAAATACCATAAACAGATAATGTGATTCTACCTCAACTCTCCACACGCACCCTGACACACAGAGGGCAAGATGAGTAAAAACTGTAGAAGGTGATTTAAGATATTTATTATGTAGTGTAATACTTATAAAAATAATTTTCAGAAATAAAATGTCTTATACTTTTTAAAAAACTATCATTTCTGAAGAGATCTGGCTATCACTACAAAGAAATGATTTATGGAATGAGTCACCAGGGACTCCTTTAAATCTAAATTAAATAATGTTTCCAAAATAGAGATAAAACAAGATGTATCTGCAAAAGTTCATAGGTTGTAGGCTGGGCACGGTGGCTCATGCCTATAATCTCAGCACTTTGAGAGGCTGAGGTGGGGGGAGCACGAGGTCAGGAGTTCGAGGCCAGGCTGGCCAACGTAGTGACGCCCCATCTCTACTAAAAATACAAAAATTAGCCAAGTGTGGTGGCAAGCACCTGTAATCCCAGCTACTCAGGAGGCTAAGGCAGGAGAATTGCTTGAACCTGGGAGGCGGAGGCTGCAGTAAGCCAAGACCGTGCCATTGCACTCCAGCCTGGGCGACAGAGTGAGACTGGCTCAAACAAAACAAAACAAAAACCAAAAAGATCATAGGTTCTTAAAAGGAAAACTAATGTTATAAATGAAATAGAATAGTTAACTTTTAAAATGCAGAACAGTATAAATAGTTTCAAAATACCTAAGAAAACTTCATATTCTTACACCAAAAAAGCATTCATGTGTTAAAGCTGTTTTTCTGTTTTACAATCATGAATAACTGTAGAGTCTGAGAATAAATAATTTTAAAATTCCATGTATTTAAGAAATATTAAATAAGAGATATGCTTCCTTATCATCAAGTTCAGGAACATTTATCTTTACAGACATGTTAGTTAAGTCTTCAGTGATCATGGAAGTATTCAAATTCTTGTGGTGTGAACACTGTGAAATTGTAAATTGAACTCAATATTCACAATGCCATCAAGCAAGAAAGAATTAGTGGGCTAAATAAAGACAAAACCTTTCAAACTAACTTGATACTTACCAATAATCCACAGTATAAGAAGATAGTCTATTCTTTCAAGGGCTGGCCCCATTGTATTTTTCTTATCCTCATTGTAGACAAGAGAGTATAGATTAAGCAACAGCAGAAATGTGAAATATGATGCTCCATGAATGATAAATTTCATAAAAGGTGTGTGAATGATTCTGCCAAACTGAGACTTGGGAGCTATCAAATAACAAAGTGACAAAACTGGCCAAAAGATGCCTACTGTCAAAACAGTCATTATCTTCTTACAGGTGGGCTTGCGTCGGTAACCTGACATCTGTCCAAACCAAACAGTGTTCAGGAACTGCTGGCAGTTAGACTGGGAGACAAACTGAAAAGGACATACACACACATTAAAAAGAAAAAAAGTAAAAGGAAACCTTTAAATACTGATTGGTTGATATTCAAAGTTTACTGAATAAGAGTTTACAAATCAGTTCTATACATTGAACATAGTTTTGTTTTTTCCCTTTTTCTAACAAGTAATAAAAGCATGTAGAAGTTAAGAAGACAGACTATGGAGCCAGATTACCTAGATTCAAATCTGGGCTCTGCTACTTGGTAAATGACCTTTACCAAGTTTTTAAATTTCTTTAAGCATCAACTTCCCCATCTGTAAAATGGGAATAATAATAGTATCTACTCATAAAGTTATGAAGATTAAAGGTAAAGCCCTTAGAATAGTGCCTGGTTCATAGCATGCACTCTTTAAGTATTAACTATTATTATTAGCCTACTTAGCCATTTTGTCATGTTTAATATATAAAACCTCTTATAATAATATTTATGAAATTTCAAAGTTAGCATGCACAATCCATAGAAAAAGATACTACTAACTAATGTTGGACATCTTCAGTGTAAAGAAACTATTGAATTTAGTTACAAGACGCCAAGATGTCAAGATAGCACAAAAATATAAAAAGCTAAATATTAGACCTATTTTTGCTCCAAGGAAACACTGCGGATTTCTTAAAAGGTATTAAAGACACTCTTAAGCCTGCTTAAAACTGAATTTCATGTGAGAAGAAAAGGAAAAAATATTCCCAAATATGAGAAAAATCTTAGTTCAGGTACAGAAACTAATTTACCAAAGTTTACAAATCCTCTTAGCTGACAAATTTCATAGGCAATATTTTTCCAATATAATGCTCATGTTGTGAAGTATAACTTAAGGGTCCTGATAATTCTATATATAATCATGTGATCAGGTTTGAAATTATTATAAAATGATATTATTCAGGTAATCCACAATAATATTTGGTCAACCTTCTGTTTTAAAATGATTTATCCCAAAATAGAATATAATTTGTAGAATTAACACTGTAGTGAAAAAAAGAATTGGATAGAGTTTTGTTGTTTATTGTGCTTTCAAGAAAATTTCTAATATACTATACAGTTGGCCCTCTGTATCTGTGGGTCCTACATCTGTGGATTAAACCAACCATGGATCAACAATATTTGGAAGAAAAAATCCACAAAGTTCCAAATAAGCAAAACTTGAATATTCTTCACAGCAAGTACTATGTTGAATGAATGAAATGAGGTGTAGGCACTGTATTAGGTGTTATAAGCGATTGAAAGACACTTTAAAGTATCTGGGAAGATGTGTGTATGTTATATGCAAATACTTAATTTTGGCAATTAAGTCTTACTTCATTCTTTACTCTTCTGCTCAGATTCCAATGTTCTTGGAAAATCTTAGTTTGTCCCTCAAAGTGAAATGTTGGGAGAGAAACAGATTTTCCTCTCACCAATGACTAGGTTTAGTAACATCTCAAATTCAGTAGTTTCACCTTTCCTCCAAATATCAAAGCAATCTCAGGACTGGTTACTGTCCTTGCTATGCCTCTATACAATGATGATTTAATTCACAGTAATGTTAACTATGTATTTGGAATAAAAAGTTTAACTAGAAATGTTCTAAGTCTGCAGTAAAAGATGGACACACTTTCTTTCCATCATCGAGGTGGGGGAGGTGGAGGTCAAAATTTCCTACTCTTCAATTCAACAGGCTTGTGATAGATTTAACTAGTAGATTCTAACAGAGGTGCTGCTATGTGACTTCTGAAGGTAGGTCCTAAAAGGCCATGCATCTTCCACCTTGCTCACTGGAACACCTGCTCTTGGAGCCATGAACTGCCATGTAAAAAGCCACTCTGAAGCCACCATGCTGTGAGGAAGCCCAGGCTACATACAGAGGTCATATGTATGCACCCCAGTCAGCCCGCAGGGGCTTCTCAGACCACATCCTCAAAGTCTGCCCACTGTGATGGCCATGCCTCTCCTTGGTTCCTGCTGTGAGTTCTGAGGAGCCCCACCTTCTGTGGACTCACCCATCTGAGCACCCAGACCACTCAGAGCTCTCTGTTCCTGAGGCCTCAGCTGCTGCTCAGACACCAGACATGTGAGCGGAGAAGCCTCCAGCTGATGATAGCCCCGTCATTTATCTCCAGCTGAATTCTCAGACACGGAGAAACAGAGACAAATCATGATTGCCATGCCCTTTCCTAATTCCTGACCTAAGAATCCACGAGCAGAATAAAATGATTATGAAATTATTATAAAATAACTGTGAAGTGTTTTATGCCACTAAGTTTCAGGGTAGTTTGCTATTCAAGATTGATAACCTAGACAAAGCTTACCAACTATTTGAGAAAATATCTTCCCAATTGATCATATTTAGAAATCTAGTTTTAAAAATTATTTTACATTTTCATTCATCTTTAAAATAGCAAAATATCTTCCTTTCAACTCACAAATATTACTGTTACTTCCTGTCTTTTCTTTCATCTTCTTTAAAACGGTACATTTGGTTCTATTTTGACTCCACTCTGTGAGTCCTTCAGGGATATAGCTATCATTAGAAAACTGCCTCTTAGATTTTTTTTCCTAACCAGGATAATTTTAGTTCTTTACACCTTTCTTTGAGGTTCTTTTTTTTAAATCACTTTAATTGATTTTATACCTTGTAATCCCCTTATTATATCATTTTCTAGTACTTCATGTCCCTTTTAGGTTGTGGAACACAGAAGCAAATATATTAACTTATAAACATCCTTCATCAATTCCTCCATCAATTTCCTAATAGCTTTGTGAGGCTCAAATTTTTAACCAAGATAAGAAAAAATTCTGCCCTTAGCACCAAAGGTCCTGTATCTGGCCTTCTATCATTATATATTTCAGGCCCCATTTTTGTAATAATATAAATTTGATAAGCAAGTTTTATTTAAATATCTATATTAATAATGAAAATAGTCTTAGAATACCTAATAAATACCATTTACCAACATCTCATACTATCAATTATATATTGTTATTATCTACATATGAATCTCACTGTTTAGTTAATTATCTCAAAAATGATATTTAAAATGCATATCTTCCTGATTCAAGTTCCTGGATCACATGTATATGTATGCATGGGGAGTAGAAATGGGCATTTCTCTTAACAGAAAGGGATGATGCCAGAAAAGTCAGATTTAACTTAGTTATCATGTACCTCTCCACTTTTGAGTTTCACAATGAATTATAAATAAGAAGAATCAGGAAATATAATATCTGATACTTTATTTTTAAATAGAAATCACTATTACTATAGAAGGGGCTATTTATAACCAGATCAATGAAAACAAACCTATGACAGACAAAACACAAGATGGAAACTTCACTATAAAGTTTGTACCTACTACAAAGGATCTTACCTGTGTAGCAACTATTTAGCAAAAACATTAAATCAACATCCATGTTATAAATCAATATTACTAAAAATAATAAAAACCATTTATTGCATACTTGCTTAATGCTAATACTTTTAGTATATATTCTTAATTAATTATTAAAACAAAAGCTCAGACAGATTCAATAACTATCCCAAGACACAATTTTTAGGAAGCAGAACTAGGATCTCAACCCAGATGAGTTACTCCAAATCTTTGCTCTGAGCCACTAGACTACTGTAGAGAAAATAATTTAAATATGTTACAGAAAGCCTCATACCTCTTTTTGGTTATATTTGATAGCAAGTTTTAGACGACTTAAATTCATTCTTTCTTCTAATAATCCCCGTTTGTCAAGAGGCTCGTCACTAGATGTATGGTTTAGAATAACTTCCAATTCACGGGAATTCCGGGCTTGCGCAAGTAAATCCTTAGCAAACATTTTACATTGCCGAGCTAGTTCCTCATAATCATTCCTACAAAATGCAGCATTCTATTATCAGAAATGTCATTTCCATCTTCTAATTAAGCTATATTCACTAAAAATGTTTTTACTCAGCAACATTTTCTGACAGTGTTATACAAAATCTGAAGTCATTTTCTGTGGATAATCAAAGGAAACTACTGGTGCACGAATTTTCCACAGCTTTGGGGAAAACCATAACACAATTATGTTCCTTGTGTTCATACTAATAGTCTTAGATGAGCACAGTTTTCATTTATATATACTGATGTTATTCCTAAAAATTCTAATAATATTTATCAACCAGTTCTTCACTTAACTGATTTTCCCTTATTCTCTGTAAGCTTGGCTAAAACTTCCTTTTATATTACTCACCTTAACGATAGACATAATATCTTAATGCTATCCAATCATTATCATAAAATTTTTAACTAGAGCTTTTTCAATAATAGTCGTCTACAATATGTTACTTCTAATATTAAAATAGCATTTTGATTCATAAAGTTCTCATTTGAGTGAAATTCAAATTAGAAAGATATTAAAATGCGCCTAACAAAAAACTCTCTTTCAGAATCCCTATTCCTTGAATCTTGGGTTTGAACTGCTTATTAAAGGCAGGCCTGAACTAATTTGTGGGAAATGAAGAAGTTTTAATATATAATTCTTTTAAAAAATATCAATTACAGCTCGGTGTGTTGGCTCACGCCTGTAATGCCAGCATTTTGGGAGGCCAAGGCAAGTGGATTACCTGAGGTCAGGAGTTCAAGACCAGCCTGGTCAACATGGCAAAACCCTGTCTCTACTAAAAAATACAAAAATTAGGCATGGTGGCAGGCGCCTGTAATCCCAGCTACTCAGGAGGCTGAGGCTGGGAGAACTGCTTGAACCCAGGAGGGGGAGGTTGCAGTGAGCCAAAATGGTGCCACTGCACTCCAGCCTGGGTCTCAAAAAAAAAAAAAAAAAAAAAAAAAAAAAAAAAAAAAAAAATCAATTACATTAACTTTATGTCTAAGCTTAATAATAACTTAGGAATGAAGTCAGAAATAAATAATTATGAGCCATGGTCTTGAGGTTGGGCTTCAGAAAATAATGTTTTTATTCAGTTTTTTCCCAAACAGAAAAGGAAAGGGAAACAGGAAGATTTCCCACTGGTTAGTCTTTCTATATAATGGGGTTTTCCATGAACTGGCTATATAAAAATTATAACTTAAGAATAAAAACTTCTTTGCCTTAACTTCTCTCATCATTCTTTATACTTTCTATGTAGTCAAAACTCCTGAGAATAAATAATTGGATTTATTTAACAAATGCGGCACTCCCTGCTTCTTGATTTAGGAATCTAACTGCAGATGGGAACGTTTATCAAAAGTATATATTATTACAAAAATATTCCATATTTGGATAAACATTTGATGGACTACGAGATTCAAAAGTGAAATTTATACATCTTATTAATCTAATCCATTTCTAACACATTACTGAAGACAAATAAGTGGCCGTATAGTTTAGATGGAAATACAGAAAACCAGAAGCAAGGATTCCTATATTCTAGTTATAACTTTGTTCCTACTTTCAGTTTTAACTCTATTCCTAATTAGATGCTGCTATTAGTAAAAATCTAGCCTTTATAAATCTCTTCCACTGTCTATAAAACACTGGATTGAAGTAAATGGGTTCTATGATCACTTCTAAATCTAGCTTTATTATGTTATGATTATATAATCACAGCAGTTTCTTCAAATCCTGTTTGAAAGGAGTTGAATAAGTTTTATTTTATATAACTCAGACTCAAATTATGAGGTTATAATAGGAAGTTCTTCATATTTAAACAGAATAATTTAACAGTCGTTCTTCATAAACAGAATAATTTAACAGCCTCATGTGCTAATAAAGTTAAAAGTAGCAACAAGTTACATTTGAACCATGTTTTGTGTGTTCATCAAAGTAAAGTACATACTTTATGTCATATCAAGTTTAAACAAAATTTAAATTATCCAAGTTACAAGATAGTAGTTCCAAACTTGAAAACATAAACAAGTCTTTTTTCAGTTTCTGGAACTCAGGTCTATGAAGAACACATTAAGTACTGCTGTTAAAGCTAAAGAAAACTCCAAGTTTCTTACTGCCCTTCCAGGAAGAAGTTTGAACTTTCCCAATTTTGTCAAGTCACTGAAAGAGTGTCACACAACACATAGGACTCTAATAGCAGCTCTATAGGAAAGAAAAGGTAGTAATAGTTATAGATCCCCAGTAGAAACCCTGCAACAGGGACTGGTAAAAAATCGCAATCAATTCCTCCTTCTTCAGAGGGCAACAGGGATACTTTTCCATAAAGGAAAATCTCAACGCTTTCTCTCAACTCCACTATTAATAAAAGTAGTTTTCTAAGGATTTTTTTAAAAAAATGTTTAAATTAGTAGTTTCATAGGCTGCTATTACAAAGTCTTTTTTTTTTTTTCTTCAACTTACCGCCCTAAAAGGAAAATAATAGGAGTGCTTCCTTGGTATGCCAAGTACCAAAATTACATTTAATCTTCATTTCAGAAGAGAACTCAGACTGGGTGTTTATCCCTCTTAATTAGTTGTATTTTATTTTTATGTTTACATGTATTACATATATATTTATCTTACCAGAAAATCTGAGCAAATAGTGAAAAGGGACTATGTCTGTGTGTGTGGAATGTCCTTGACATACAGAAAGCATTCCATGTGCTTTTGAAAGATCTGAAGGATCATTACTCAAGGATGATTATAGAATCGGAGAATGAGGAGATGTGTGAGAGAGAGAGCAACTACGAATAAATTTGCTCCTGCTTTAGGCTATAACTCCTACTGTATTTCACACGGCTCTACAATGCCTTCGGTTAGGTTGAAAAGTGGGGAAGAGAGTAAGGGTGGTTATAACGTGGCAGAGGGCAGATGGGGAAGGAATGACTTAAGTAGCACCAGGGTCTGTTCCTTTGAGGGAAAGTGGCAACAAGGTGTAGTGTTCTTGGATCAAATGTAAATATATACAAATCATAATTTGGGTAATGAAGAAACTAAGGTTGAAGATTTGAAACAAAAGACATTATATAATTTACAATTTGCATTCATTCCCACCTGAATTCCACCTCCACAAGACTTAGTTCTTTTAAATCAGCACTAAGTTCAAATGCTCTCAGAATTGGATCCTCCTCTGTTAACATTATTAGAGCCGGACTGGCCAAACATCGATATATATCGAGACGAAACCTGTGATAAAATTGGATTCCATAATGTAAAATAAACTTATACACAGATAATTAGTATTCTAATCTATAATTTTCATAAATGCATACTTAAAATATAAAATTAAAAGAAAAACTACAGATTTATTTATTACAAGATAACCTCCATAAAAAGACTTAAAACAAATATTTTGAGATATAAATATTGAAAAACCTCGCTATCTATTGCTTTTTAGAAAATTGTTTTACTGTCTCTTTTCATAGATTCAAAATGCCTTTGGTATAAAGATTTTTGTTTAATTCAATTTAATTAAATTCATATTTCTGGACCAACTTTTTTTTTATTTAAAAGACAGGGTCTCGCTCTGTCACCCAGGCCAGAGTGCAGTGGAGTGATCACAGCTTGCTGTAGCCTCGAACACCTGGGTCAAGGGATCCTTCCACTTCAGCCTTGTGATTACAGGTGCATGCCACTATACCAGGCTAATGTTTAAAAATTTTATAGCGACAGGGTCATGCTATGTTGCCCAGGCTAGTCTCAAGCTCCTGGCCTCAAGTAATCCTCCCATCTTGGGCTACCAAAGTGCTGGGATTACAGGTGTGAGCCACTGTGCCTGGTTTGAACCCAATATAACTTTAAATAAAATATGCTAATAACATAATTTTTTAATATGATATGGATTTGATGACTAATAAATTTTTTCTTAATAATAAAAATACTTTTTTTTTTTGAGATGGAGTCTCACTCCAGTCACCTGACTGGAGTGCAATGGCACGATCTCGGCTCACTGCAACCTCAGACTCCCTGGTCCAAGCGATTCTCCTGCCTCAGCCTCCCGAGTAGCTGGAATTACAGGCATGCACCACAACGCCCAGCTAATTTTTGTAGTTTTAGTAGAGACGAGGTTTCACCATGTTGGCCAGGATGGTCTCGATCTCCTGACCTCGTGATCCACCCACCTCAGCCTCCCAAAGTGCTGGGATTACAGGTGTAAGCCACCGCGCCCAGACCATAAAAATACTTTAATATGCTCAATCTATGTAATACATTGTTCATTCATTCAGGTTATGAGTTTGAAAGATGTTTCAAATCTTAAGAGTGAAATCATTTCCTTATGCAGTTTCTAATGTAAAAAGCACTCCCTTTGCCATCTATAAATATTCATATTTCCATACCTAAATAGAAAACAAACCAGAAAAATTTTGCTATAGTTCATTTATAAATATAATTCTTAATTTACAAATTTGGTAGATATTATATAATGCATATTTTTCTTTTAATATAAATTTAAATACATGCTTATTATAAAATATGAGGTAAGCAATTTGGAAACACGATACTCCCTAATCCTTGTCCTCCCATCACCTCCCAACTGCAATCCTCAAAACTAGTCATTTTACATAGAATTGTGCATGTCCTTCTTGATAGTTTCTATCTATACACGAACATAATCAGACACAATAAAGGAACAGCTTGCTTTTTAAAAAATGTAACATATAATGAACCTCTTTCTATGTCACCACATACAGATTCATCTCATACAACTGGACGGAGGTCTATAAGCTCTCCATTAATGAACATTTAGATTGCTTCTACATTTTTTCTGCTATAAAAAATGCAGCAATGAATATGCTTCAGTTTGCATATCTTTTGTGCACTTTCAATTTCTGGGGAATATGGCATTTGTATTTTAAATTCTGATAGATGTTTCCAAAGCAGTAATAACAAGGAGAGCTCATTTTCTTCAACAGCTTCATTAATACTGGGTATTACTATTTCAATCTAACAGAAAATATAATTTTTGTAGGTGGTTTAAAATGAATTTATTTAGATGCCTGAGCATCTTTTCATGTGTAATACTCATTTATACTTCTTCCTCTGTAACTTGCCTGTTCATATTCTTTGGCTCATTTTTTGTAATGATTATTTATCTTTCTTTTAGTCAGTTTCTAAGATCTCTTCATTATCAAAGAAATTAGCCCACTGTCCAATCAAAAGTGATTCAAATACTTTTCTTTCTTTCTTTTTTTTTTTTGAGACAGACTCTCACTCAGTTACCCAGGCTGGAGTGCAGTGGTGCAATCTTTGCTCACTGCATCCTCTGCTTCCTGGGTTCAAGCAATTCTCCTGCCTCAGCCTCCTGAGTAGCTGCGATTACAGGTGTGTGCCACCACACCTGGCTAAGTTTTGTATTTTTAGTAGAGACGGAGTTTCGCCATATTGCCCAGGCTGGTCTCCAACTCCTAGGCTCAAGTGATCCACCCACCTCGGCCTCCCAAAGTGCTAGGATTACAGGTGACTTAAATACTTTTAATCAAGTTTATTGTTTATCTTTCTACTTTGTTGTAATGAATTTTTCTATATGGAAATTCCAAATCTTCATTTAAACAAATTTATTGATATATTCCTTATTTAGCTTATAGGTTTAATGTCTTACTTAGATACAAAAGTAATCCCATATAATACATTTTTAAGAAAACAATATTTATGAAATTCAGTTATGATCTACTTATTCAATTAATAAGTATATTAAGTAAGGATTTCTGAAGAGGTATTTGCCTATACTATACTGTCAAAAAACTGAGAAAAAAAATAATATGTAATTATGCAACTTATCCTTCTGTTTCCAACAATATGTCTACATTAATTAATTTTATCACACTGTTTCAAAAACAGACTTTTGTATTAACCTACTTTATCATGTCTCAAAATACAGTAAGGATTAATCACAAAATGCACAGCAAGAGTAACTTCCAATAATGGTGGAATGAAAAGATTGGTAATCATTTGTTTCACACTATAATGAAGCACCATTGTGTGGAAAGCATTTAGATATAATCTGACAAATAATGAAGCCACTTCTTCATAAAATCTATCAATTTTGGTACTCAAAACACCATGAAAATAATAACAGTATGAAGAGGTCAGTAATTATCCTCCACAAAAAAAAATACATAAAACTGAACAAAATTATCCAAAAAGATCAACCACTTCAGGCCACTGGAAACTGTTTATTGAGAATTGTTGATTGTTGAAAAACTGTCAGTGTTTCAGGCAGGAATGGCCTTGCCTAGAACTGCCTCCATCACCCCTGCCCCCAGTTCAGTCAGTGAGGTTTGTAGTTTTGCCAGCTTGTAGCTGGTATACTTGTAGTTTTATGCCAGGATGACAAAATCAATTCAATGAGAGGCAAAAGCCTATAAACCTACTGGCTGAAAGTAATGAACTTGGTGGACATGGACAGAGAAAACCTGCAGTTTTGCAAGACTGAGGCTGCAAACCAAGCTGAGGCAAGCAGTGGACCAACCAGAAACTTAACAGGGAGAACCTGGAAATAAGAAAGCTATAAATGGATTCACATAAGGTCTCCACAAATTCCTGGCTGACTAGAAAATTACATACGTGTGGAGAACATCAGAGCGTTGGTAAAAAGAAAAGACCAAGGAAAAATTAATAAATGCCCACAACTTCAAATGCATTCCCTAACTAACCCACAGATTGATCAGCAGACAGTAGAAACTTTATGGGCCCAAGGTGCATTATTAGCACAACCTCAGCCCAATTATTTGGCTGACATATGTAGACACTAAAAGAGTCCTTAGGAATCAAACCTAAAAAATGAAAATGAGAATAAAACACAAAGCACAGACATCAATAAGTGTACACCACAAGGAGACAAGTTCTGTAGGCTAGGCAAGTAATGTAAAAAATATAAAAAACAGGCCAGGCCAGGCCAGGGGCGGTGGCTCACGCCTGTAATCCCAGCACTTTGGGAGGACGAGGCGGGCGGATCACGAGGTCAGGAGATTGAGACCATAGTGAAATCCCGTCTTTACTAAAAATACAAAAAAAAAAAAAAAGAAAAAAAATTAGCTGGTGTGGTGGCGGGCGCCTGTAGTCCCAGCTACTCAGGAGGCTGAGGCAGGAGAATGGCGTGAACCCAGGATGCGGATCTTGCAGTGAGCTGAGATCGCGCCACTGCACTCCAGCCTGGGTGACAGAGCAAGACTCCGTCTAAAAAAAAAAAAAATATATATATATATATAAATAAACAACAAAACAGGAAAAAAGTATGCAGAGTTGCTGTAATACACATGGAACTGTCCAGTTTTCAAACAAAGAAATACTAGATGTTCAAGAAAAAGGTGCCTCCCTGAGGAGCAACATTAGAGGTTTACCGCTATGGGGGAGATGTGGGCGGGGACAGACTTCATTAAAACAATCCAATCCATCACTAAAAAACTAAACAAGTAAATAATAATAACAAGCCCCAGGAAAGAGGGTGGGTGGGGACTAGCACACAGAGTTGCTGCCATATTATCTAGAATGCCCCGTTTCCAACAAAAAAATTAAGGGACATGCAAAGAAATGGAAAAGTATGACCCATACCCCAGGAAGGAAAAAAAAAAAAAAGCTGCCTGCAGAGTGACCAGATGTCAGGATGCTGGGATACAGGCATGAGCCACTGCACCCGGCCTGTGTTCCTTTTCATTATTTCTCCCTTTATGGATATTCTCTATTTGATGTGACATTGTCCTCTTACCCTGCTTTACTTCCGCAATCATGCTGTCCTTTTAGTACTGTGAGCATATTTATAATGGCTAGTTTGAAATCTTTTTCTCTTAAATCTGACATCTGGTTACTCTGCAGGCAGATTTTTTTTTTTCCCAGGGACAGGAGAATTGCTTGAACCTGGGAGATGAAGGTTGCCGTGAGCTAAGATTGCGCCACCGCACTCCAGCATGGGCGACAGAGCAAGACTCCATCTCAAAAAAAAAAAAAAAAAAAAAAAAAAGAATACAATGGAAATTATGGAATTAAAAAGTACAATGACTGAAATTAGAAATTCACTAGAGAGGCTTGCTATGGGTTGAATTGTATCCCTCCAAATTTCATCTGCTGAAGTTCTGTCTACCAGTACATCAAAATATAACTTTATTTGGAGATGGAGTCTTTAAAAAGGAAATTAAGATACAATGAGAACATCAAGGTAGGTCTAAATCTAATATGACTAGTGTCTTTAT